ATGGGAAAATTGCTGAATGATTTACCAAGTGAATAAGCCGCAAAAACGTTTAAAGGTCCAGGGGTAAATTAAATGCTAAGGCAAAACAGGCACTTGAAAGGGATGTCAATTTGATACCAGAAATACATAAACATAGGAGAAGCTAGGAAAATAAAAAGTGGCTTACATTATTTCTAAACAAGAAATTCCTGATAGAAGAAAGTTACTGAACACCAAAAAATCTGAATTACTGTACCTACACTGGTATGGCAATATGGGTCAACATTTTTAAAGAATGGAAAAGGCCAGTTCTGGAAAGACGAAATTAGAGGTCACTGTGCTAACAGGTTATGTTAATGTATGGTAAGTCCCAGTTCCTCCAAATGGAAGGTGAGCTGTTTGTACTGAGGCATCAGACAGAGCTTTATTATTCTTACACCAACTGTGAAAAGTCTTGTTCAATTGTCCTAAAATCATTAAAGTATCAACGGCTGTTATCCAAATCTTTGGGAACTGAGTAAATCTGTGTCTACATTACCTAAGCTGCAACTACTTGGGCTATCTGTTCTGGGACTATTTTAGTTCCAACACATTCTCCAAAAGTAATACAGCAGCTTCTGCTGTAGCTATATGCACTGTAGATACACTGCAGTTTTAAAGAAGGGTAATAAAAAGAGTTGTTTCCTAATACCATTCTAAATTATGTCCAAAGTTGCCTCTTTTCTAATCCTTTGGCTAGGTAGACTAGGCTTTTGTTGTGCTTTTTTTGTTTTCATCCATTTATGCTTCTGAGTTGCTAGTTTCTTCATCTCCACATGGGAAATATGTGTAGTGAAAAGGAAATTCAGGGGATTCACCTGTGTTGTTCTTTAGGTCACAAAGCCCCTAGGCTGGACTGCCTTCTTCTCTTAAACTTTCAGTCCTATCATGTACTGCTATATATAATGTCCAAGTTTTTTAGTTTTATTTAGTGGGAATAATAGGTAAAAGAATGTCAACTTTATCTTTCTGAAAGCAGAAGTCTCCCTTGGATGACATTTGATGCTTTATTTTATATCAGTGTCTTATAAATGATAAGGTATAGTAGTTCTCAGCTATGATATTTCATACTAATATAATGAAGTTATAACTTGTAAATTTTGTGATAGTAATTCACTATTTAAATTGGTTTAGCTGTTTATATTTTAATAATCTGGTTATATTAATCACTTTCAACTTCCTGATGAACTTTAGAATTAAAATTCTCTCTCTGTCCCCCCTAAAATAAATAAATCTTAAAAAAAAACAAAGAAGTCACAAAGGAAATACAAAATTTACATTAACTTAATAAAAATGGGAATAAAACATACCAAAATTTGTATGACACAGCTAAATCAGTGCTGAGAGGAAAATTTAAGGAACTAAATGCTTATAGTAGAGAAAAGTCTCAAATTAAGAATTTAAGCTCCTACCTCAAAAAGTTTAAAAAAAATACAAACCTAAAGCAAGAAATATGAGAGAAACAAATTTAAAACAGAAAGAAAATAGAAAAAAATCAAGAAAATACAGTTATCTCTTTGAAACCTTCATCAACATTGACAAAATTCTAGAAAGACTGACAAAAAAGAAAAGGCATATTATCAATACTAGGATTGGAACAGGGATTAATTAACATTTCAGACCTACATATATCAGAAATATAATAAGAGAATTCTGTATGCATCTATATGAGAACTTAGATGAAATGGATCAATTTCTCAAAAAAAGAAAAACTACCACAACTCACATAACATGAAACAGATCATTTGAATAGCCCTATTAAGGAAATTGAACTCATAATCTAAAAATTCCCAAAAGAGATTTTCTGAGAACAGACGATTTCATTGGTTAATTCGACCAAATATTTAAAGAAAAATTAACACCAATTCTATACAACTTCTTCCAGAAAATAGAGAAGGAAAAACACTTCTCAATTCAGTTCATGAAGCTAGTTATCACTCTAATATAAAGACTAGAAAAGCCAGTACAAAATAAGAAAACTACAGATCATTATGCCTCATGAATACTACAAATACAAAAAATTTTAAAAAGATTTTATTTATTAATTCATGAGAAACACAAAGAGGCAGAGACAGGAAGAGGGAGAAGCAGGATCCCCAGTGGAGCCTAATACAGGACTTGATCCCAGGACCCCAGGATCACGACCTGAGCCAAAGGCAGACACTCAACCACTGAGCCACCCAGGTACCATCAAACACAAAAATTCTTTTTTTTTTTATGACAGTCACAGAGAGAGAGAGAGAGAGAGAGAGAGAGAGAGAGAGAGAGAGAGGCAGAGACATAGGCAGAGGGAGAAGCGGGCTCTATGCACCGGGAGCCCGACGTGGGATTCGATCCCGGGTCTCCAGGATCGCGCCCTGGGCCAAAGGCAGGTGCCAAACCGCTGCGCCACCCAGGGATCCCCAAACACAAAAATTCTTAAGAAAAGTATGAGCAGATAGAATCTAGCATTATGTAAAAAGAATCAGACACCATGATCAAATGGGATTCATTTCAGGGATGCAAGGCTGGTTCAATGTACAAAAAAATCAGTAAACGTAATCCATCACATCAACTGGCTAAAGAAGAAAAATCACATGATTGTACCAATTGATGTATAAAAAAACATATGACAAAATCAGAATTTTTATCATAAAAATTCTGAGGAAAAATATAGTAATAAAAGGGAAATTTGGAAGAAACTCAAACACGTGGAGGTTAAAGAGCATCCTGCTAAAAGATGAGAGGGTCAACCAGGAAATCAAAGAAGAATTAAAAACATTCATGGAAACTAATGAGAGTGAAGATACAACCATTCAAAATCTTTGGGTTACAGCAAAAGCAGTCCTAAGAGGGAAATACATCACAATACAAGCATCCCTCAAAAACCTGGAAAAAACTCAAATACATAAGCTAACCTTGCACCTAAAAGAACTGGAGAAAGAACAGCAATAAAACCTACACCAAGCAGAAGAAGAGGGTTCATAAAGATTCGAGCAGAACTCAATGAAATAGAGACCAGAAGAACTGTAGAACAGATCAACAAAACCAAGAGTTAGTTCTCTGAAAGAATTAATACGATAGATAAACCATTAGCCAGCCTTATTAAAGACAAAAGAGAAAAGACTCAAATCAATAAAATCATGAATGAAAAAGGAGAGATCAAAAAAAAAAGAAAAAAGAAAAAGGAGAGATCACCACCAATACCAATGAAATACAAACGATTTTAAAAACATATTATAAGCAGCTATACACCAATAAATTAGGCAGTCTACAAGAAATGGACTCATTCCTGGAAAACCACAAACTACCAAAACTGGAACAGGAAGAAATAGAAAACCTGAACAGGCCAATAACCAGGGAAGAAATTGACGCAGTCATCAAAAACCTCCCAAGACACAAAGTCCAGGGCCAGATGGCTTCCCAGGGGAATTCTATCAAAGGTTTAAAGAAGAAATCATACCAATTCTACTAAAGCTGTTCTGAAAGATAGAAAGAGATGGAATACTTCCAAACTTGTTTTATGAGGCATCACCTTAATTCCAAAACTAGACGAAGACCCCACCAAAAAGGAGAATTATAGACCAATATCCCTGATGAACACAGACGCAAAAATTCTCAACAAGATACTAGCCAATAGGATCCAACAGTACATTAAGAAGATTATTCACCATGACCAAGTGGGATTTATCCCTAAGATACAAGGCTGGTTCAACACTTGTGATAGATCATATCAATAAGAGAAGAAACAAGAACCATATGATCCTCTCAATAGATGCAGAGAAAGCATTTGAGAAAATACAACACCCATTCCTGATCAAAACTCTTCAGAGTGTAGGGATAGAGGGAACATTCCTCAGCATCTTAAAAGCCATCTACGAAAAGCCCACAGCAAATATCATTCTCAATGGGGAAGCACTGGGAGCCTTTCCCCTGAGATCAGGAATAAGACAGGGATGCCCACTCTCACCACTGCTATTCAACATAGTACTAGAAGTCCTAGCCTCAGCAATCAGACAACAAAAAGAAATAAAAGGCATTCAAATTGCCAAAGAAGAGGTCAAACTCTCCCTCTTCACCAATGACATGATACTTTACATAGAACACCCAAAAGACTCAACCTCAAGATTGCTAGAACTCTACAGCAATTCAGCAGTGTGGCAGGATACAAAATCAATGCCCAGAAATCAGTGGCATTTCTATACACTAACAATGAGACTGAAGAAAGAGAAATTAAGGAGTCAATTCCATTTATAATTGCACCCAAAAGCATAAGATACCTAGGAATAAACCTAACCAAAGAGGTAAAGGATCTATACCCTAAAAACTACAGAACACTTCTGAAAGAAATGTAGGAAGACACAAAGAGATGGATAAATATTCCATGCTCATGGATTGGTAGAATTAATATTGTGAAAATGTCAATGCTATCTGGGGCAATTTACACGTTTAATGCAATCCCTATCAAAATACCATGGACTTTCTTCAGAGAGTTGGAACAAATAATCCTAAGATTTGTGTGGAATCAGAAAAGACCCCGAATAGCCAGGGGAATATTGAAAAAGAAAACCAGAGCTGGGGGCATCACAATGCCAGATTTCAAGTTGTACTACAAAGCTGTGATCATCAAGAAAGTGTGGTACTGACACAAAAACAGACACAGATTAATGGAACCCAGAAATAGGCCCTCCACTCTATGGTCAACTAATATCCGACAAAGCAGGAAAGACCATCCACTGGAAAAAGGACAGTCTCTTCAATAAGTGGTGCTGGGAAAATTGGACAGCCACGTGCAGAAGAATGAAACTAGACCATTCTCTTACACCATACACAAAGATAAACTCAAAATGGATGAAAGATCTAAATGTGAGACAAGAATCCATCAAAATCCTAGAGGAACTTTCCAGGACTCAGGGGCAGCCACAGCGGCAGTGGCGGGCAGCAGCCTTGGGAGGCAGAACTGGAACAGCCGCGGGTGGAGGCAGCGGCGCTGAGGAATCTAACATGTCCACTGAGGCACAAAGAGTTGATGACAGTCCAAGCACTAATGGAGGAAGTTCTGATGGAGACCAACGTGAAAGTGTTCAACAAGAACCAGAAAGAGAACAAGTTCAGCCCAATAAAAAGGAAGGAAAAATATCCAGCAAAACAGCTGCTAAATTGTCAACGAGTGCTAAAAGAATTCAGAAGGAACTTGCAGAGATTACATTGGACCCTCCTCCCAACTATAGTGCTGGACCCAAAGGAGACAACATTTATGAATGGAGGTCAACTATATTGGGACCCCCAGGATCTGTCTATGAGGGAGAGGCGTTCTTTCTTGACATTACCTTTTCACCAGACTATCCTTTTAAACCCCCTAAGGTTACCTTCCGAACAAGAATCTATCACTGTAATATTAACAGCCAGGATGTCATCTGTCTGGATATCCTAAAGGACAACTGGAGTCCAGCCCTAACCATTTCTAAAGTTCTCCTCTCCATCTGCTCACTTCTTACAGATTGCAACCCTGCTGACCCTCTAGTGGGTAGCATTGCCACACAGTACATTACCAACGGAGCAGAGCATGACCAGATGGCCAGACAGTGTACCAAGCAGTATGCCACATAGGGGCCTGCTGCTTGCTGCCCCCGTCGGACCTGTGCAAGTACATTCACCAAGTGCATCAATAGCCCTACCCACCCCTCCAGACCTTGGTTCTTATTTTATTTTCATTAAATTTTGAACCTTTTTCTGATGGTATGTCATCTATCCCCCCACTCCCTTCTCCCTCCCTCCTTTTCCTCCTTTTCCTTGTCTCTTCCCTCCACCCCCCTTCTCAATTTATTCCCTTTTCTGATTTCTATTAACTTGAAAGATTTGGGTTGGTTTTCTTTTTTTTTTCCCACATCAACATGGATGGGAACTTTTGTTTTCAGTGCAATGTTGGATCTGTAATAGTAAGAGCTTTCTTACAAAGCTTTGTATTACTGTGTGGTTTTGTTTTTTGTTGTTTGTTTTATTTTGATTTTTTTCCTTATATGTGATCTTTGGGAAAACAAATTCAGAATTATATCTCATTTCTACTTAAATGTAGTGCTTAGGCTTAATGTTTTGTACTGAAGTCTTTATTGGTGGGTGCATGCTACAGGGAACAAGTTTTTTGTACAAAAGCTTCAATCAGAATCACCGTGCATTACTGAGACTCTGTTTATCACTAGCCTTCTGTCCCCCACACAGAAAACTGTTGGATTGAACAAAATAATATGTATTTTGATTTACTTAAAGTGCTTGTAAATTTCTTAGGGACCTGCCACTTTTGACTGTGGTTCGGTTGATGAACACTTGTATTATTAAAGCACTCAATAAATCACTGTAGCTGATAAATGCAAAAAAAAAAAATCCTAGAGGAGAACACAGGCAACACCCTTTTTGAACTTGGCCACAGCAACTTCTTGCAAGATACATCTATGAAGGCAAGGGAAGCAGAAGCAAAAATGAACTATCAGGACTTCATCAAGATATAAAGCTTATGCACAGCAGAAGAAACAGTGAAGAAAACTAAAAGACAACCTACAGAATGGGAGAAGAGATTTGCAAATGACATATCAGATAAAAGACTAGTATCCAAGATCTATAAAGAACTTATTAAACTCAACAGCAAAGAAACAAACAATCCAATCATGAAATTGGCAAAAGAAACGAACAGAAATTTAACCAAAGAAGACATACATATTGGCCAACAAGCACATGAGAAAATGTTCCGCATCACTGGCCATCCAGGAAATACAAATCAAAACCACAATGAGATACCACCTCACACCAGTGAGAATGGGGAAAATTAACAAGGCAGGAAACCACAAATGTTGGAGAGGATGTGGAGAAAGGGGAACCCTTTTGCACTGTTGGTGGGAATGTGAACTGGTGCAGCCACTCTGGAAAACTGTGTGGAGGGTCCTCAAAGAGTTAAAAATAGAGCTGCCCTATGACCCAGCAATTGCACTGCTGGGGATTTACCCCAAAGATACAGATGCAGTGAAACGGCAGGACACCTGCATCCCAATGTTTATAGCAGAAATGTCCACAATAGCCAAACCGTGGAAGGAGCCTTGGTGTCCATCAAAAGATGAATGGATAAAGAAGATGTGGTTTATGTATACAATGGAATATTACTCAGCCATTAGAAAATGACAAATACCCACCATTTGCTCTGACATGGATGGAACTGGAGGGTATTATGCTGAGTGAAAGAAGTCAATCAGAAAAGGACAAACATCATATGGTCTCATTCATTTGGGGAATATAAAAATTAGTGAAAGGGAATAGAGGGAAAGGAGAGAAAATGAGTGAAAATATCAGTGAGGGTGACAAAATATGAGAGACCCCTAACTCTGGGAAATGAACAAGGGGTAGTGGAAGGGGAGGTGGGCGGGGGGTTGGGGTGACTGGGTGATGAGCACTGAGGGGGGCATTTGGTGGGATGAGCACTGGGTGTTATGCTAAATGTTGGCAAACTGAATTCCAATAATTTTTTTTAAAAAAAGGAATATTACTCAGCATTAAAACCAACAAATACCCACCAGTTGCTTCAACATGGATGAAACTGGAGGGTATTATGTTGAGTGAAGTAAGTCACCAGAGAAGGACAAACATTACATAGTCTCATTCATTTGGGGAATATAAAAAATAGTGAAAGGGATTAAAGGGGAAAGGAGAGAAAATGAGTGGGAAATATCAGAGAGGGAGACAGAACATGAGAGATACCTAACTCTGGGAAACAAACAAGGGGTAGTAGAAGGGGAGGTGGGTGGGGGGGTGGGGTGACTGGGTGATGGGCATGAGGGTGGCACTTGATGGGATGAGCACTGGGTATTATACTATATGTTGGCAAATCGAACTCCAATAAAAAAATATACAAAAAAAAAAGAAGTCGTGGTACATGTATACAATGGAATACTACTACTCAGCCATAAAAAGAATGAAATCTTGCCATCAATGACATGGATGAAGCTAAAGCGTATTATGCTAAGTCAAATAAGTCAGTCAGAGAAAAACAAATCTGTATGATTTTACTTGCATGTGGAATTTAAGAACCAAAAAAAAAAAAATGAGCAAAGGGGGATAAAAGAGAGACAAACCAAGAAACACTTCTAACTCTAGAAAACAAAGTGATGGTTATCAGAGGGAAGATCGGTCGGGGGATGGTGAAATAGATGATGGGGATTAAGGAGTGCACTTGTGATGAGCACTGCGTATTGTATGTAAGTGTTAAATCACTGAATTGTACACTTGAAACTAGTATCACACTGTATGTTAACTAAATGGAATTTAAATTAAGACTTCTAAAAAATTAGGGATGCCTGGATGGCTCAGCAGTTAAGCATCTGCCTTCCATTCAGGGCATAATCTCGGAATCCCAGGATCGAGTCCCGCATCGGGCTTCCTGCATGGAGCCTGCTTCTCCCCCTGCCTATGTCTCTGCCTTTCTCTCTGTGTGTCTCACATGAATAAATAAATAAATCTTTAAAAAAAACTTCTAAAAATTTAAAAATAAATAAAAATTTAAAACTACCTTTAAAAATTAAAAAGAACTATTACTTAATTTGTGTTTATCTAACTAGGGTTAAGAATCTTATTTATAATCATCACAATTAATCCTCATGTTTATTAAGTATGCATTTATAACTCCCAGTTATACACATTAAGAAATTTAGGATCAAATACATTTTCAAAGGTAAAAAATTTAGTAAGTGGATGTCCATAGTTGAAGCCTCTGTCTAATTGAATTCAAAACTCTCCAGTCTTGCTTGACCTCTGCTCCATACCTACCTATTCACAGAGATAGGAAGGAATAAGAGTCAACAGGAGTTCAGAGTCAGGGCTGAAATACAAAAATTTAGTGTTTGCTTTCTGAAAATGAATATTCTTAAATAGTGTATATCTAACCCATGCTCTCAAGTTGGGAAGAATAAAACTTTGTCTGATTTCAATAATTCATAGGTCATGTTTGTTCACAAAGCTAAGGGATTGTCCAATTACTCAACCAGAGAGATAAATGAATGCAGAGCATAGGGAGAAAGAATTATAAATTTCTAAGGCCTGTTTTGACCCCACCCCAATCAGAGATCTAAAGTGATCTATATAACATCAGCCAGGTAGATGTTCTCCAGCCTGTCAAAGGCCTCTGAGGTTTAGGGTCTTAATTCTGTTGATTAAAGCATCGCTAACACTCTGGGTATAGCAGGAAGAAAGCAGTACTAGAAAGTGAGACAATGAGATTCTTATAGGATGCTGTTTTTCTTTGTATATCACATGTCTGGACATAACAGTATCGCACGCTGAAAGCCAAATGAGAGCCTCTGGGGCTGACCAAATGAGCTCAGTAACTCATCATAGTCCCCAAAGAATTATTTTGTCTTTTCAGCCTATAACCTAAAGGGAGTGCTTCAGCAGAAATGTGAATAATTCTAAATAAAGCTATCAGAGAGCATATCCCTATAGTGCCAAAGGGAATTATTCTAAAGCATTTGTTAGAAATACTCAAATAACAATAACAGTTGGTGGTAAAGCATTCTGGTTTTATAGGAAAGGAGTTCAACTCCCATCAGAATTTAGATTAATCATAATTTAATTGTTAATATAAAAAGGCTTAGGTATCCCATAACAGAAAGACTGGAGAATACAGCCTTTGTATCATTTCAATTTGAAAACTGTATTAATACAGCAATCCTACTAAAAGGTCCATCACTCATAATGCTTTGTTTTAGTAGTGAATCATAGAAGCTTAATACATGTTCACTAGCATCACAGAATATCAATTTTAATGTTTCTAGAAACCAAATATGCTTTAAAATTAAAAGCTAGATGGGGCTTTATATATTCTGCCTAAACTTACCAAAAGATTGATTCCTAACAAATTACTTCTCTTCCCAAAAATATTCTTTTTTTTTCCCAAAAATATTCTTAAAGAAAGATTTTCTTCTTAAACTTATTCTTGAAGGAAGGAATGGGAAAAAGATAAGCAAAAAGACATGCAGTAGTGTAACATAGATTAGCACCTAATTCAGCCTTACTGCCTCCCCCTACCCTGCCCTGCCCTGCCCTGCCAAATGCCAGAGAAATCCACAGCAGATGCAGTGCCAATGAAACACAGATATTTTAAGGCGGTGTTCAATAAATAAAACACAAATTGTAATAAATATTCAGAGTAATGCCATATTTATCAAGGCCTGGTTATAACTGCTGCTAGGGAAAAAGGGCTATAAGGAAAACAATGCCATACTCATAGTCCACAGACAAGACTAGCAGGGGATCCTGAATGGGAGAAAAAGTCACACTCTGAGCAGTCAAATTTCATAACCCCTGGAGGTGTCATTTACATTGTAATCATTACAAATGGCAACTCCTGGAGTTGGGCAATGCATATCCTGCATAGCTGTGATATCAGAAAACTAAACATGTAACAAGCATGGGTTTTTAAGACCAAGATAGCTCTATCTGAGAAATGACAGGAGCCATATAATCCAAGTCTAGTAGGCAGAACAAAACACAAGGTCATTTTTTTCAAATCAGTATAAGAATTTTAAGCCTTTTTCACAATTATCAACAGTATTTACCTTAAAATTGTGCTC